CCCACTTCATTTTTCCCATCTACTACCATCTCTGGCTCCTATCCAACAAATTGCTGCATTCATGTCTTTAGCCAAATGATATCTCAGACCGTGGTCTTTCCAACTTCTTCCTTCCTTTAACCTGATCCCTCCCACCCCCCACCCCCCCCCCCCCCCCCCCCCGCTATTTTTTTTTTTTCTTTATAAAGATGGCCAGTCAGATGGGTATATTGGTGCATGCCTTTAATCCCAGCACTCAGGAGGCAGAGGCAGGTGGAACTCTGTGAGTTCCAGACCAGCCTGGTCTACAAGAGCTAGTTCCAGGACAGCCTCCAAAGAAACCCTGCCTTGAAAAACAAAAACACAAAAGAAAAGCCAATAAATAAATAAGGAAAGGAAAGAATCTGTGATGAGACAATCTATCATTGCTATTAACCAGTATGCTGCCTGGATCCAAGGATAATGACTGAGCTGGGGGAGATGTAAAGATCTGTGACTAGACAATTCCAGGCAGAGGAAAAGTGGCAAATAGGTAGGAGCTGATGACTAGTTATTAGCTTGTATGTGTGTGGTTTTTTTTTTTTTTTTTATTAGGTTGAAGATGACAGCAATCATATTTTGCCACAGATATACTAAATGCCTGAAGAAACAATGATCCCTACATGACTGAGTTATGCAGAACCTGAGCTAGGGAGCTAGAAAGCGTACCTTGGACAGAGTAAAACAGAAAGGCAGAAGCCATACTTGTGCTAAAAGGGCTCAGCCAGTCCTGCATACCCTGTGTTTGCAGATCCTGCCAATAAAACTGAATGGCTTTTAAATGTGTGAACTACACAAAATGCTACTCTATACTACACTACAATTCTAACAGTATTAGACTTCACACTTGGCATCTGAAATAGCCACTTACCTCTTTTTTGTCTTTGAACTTGTCAATTTCTTTCTTCAGAAGTTCCACTCTTTGAAAGGATTCAAGGTTATTCACACTGTACACAAGAACAAAACCATCAGCAAAAGAGAAATAATGCTTTGGCAGCTCCACGCCTTCCTGCAGGCCTCGGGTGTCATATAAATGGAGCTGTTCCTTCACCCCACGGTCTGTCTCCACTGAGGCCATATACACGTCTTCCATTGTTTCACAGTCTTCCATTCCTATATTAAAAAGAACCACAGTCAGTTAGGTATGGCGGCTCACACCTTTAGTCTCAGCACTCAGGAGGCAAGTAGACTTCTATAAATTCCAGGCCAGCCAAGGTTACATAGTAAGACTGTTTCCAACAAACCAACAAACAAACAAAAAAATGGGGTCAGTTATTCACTAGTTCCCTGTTCTTTTGAGACTGGCTTTCTAGGTTTCTCATGCACCATATGTAATAATCACATTTCTACCTTACTAATTTCTTCTAAATGAAAAAGCAGTTATTCATCTAAAAGTATCTGTTTTTCTAAAAATATTTTTTGGACCACCAAGATTGCTCTCCAGCTTAGTGACCTGAGTTCAGTTCTGGAACCCACTAAAAAGTAGGGAAGAACTGATTCCACAAGTCATCCTTTAATCTCTACAATGGCCAATCAGCTGGGTGTATTGGTACATGCCTTTTATCCTAGTACTTGGGAAGCAGAGGCAGGTGGATCTCTGTGAGCCCAAAGCCAGTCTGAAAACCCTGTCTCAAGAAACCAAAATAGGGGGCTGGAGAGATGGCTCAAAGGTTGAGAGCACTGACTGCTCTTTCAGAGGTCCTGAGTTCAATTCCTGGTAACCACATGGTGGCTCACAACTATCTTCACAACCATCTATCATGAGATCTGGTGTCCTCTTCTGGGGTACAGGCAAATATGCAGACAGAACACTATATGTAATAAAAATAAGTAAATAAATTTTTTTAAAAAAGAAACCAAAATAAAGAGAAAATAATATTTTGAGGCGGAGAGATGGCTCAGTGTTTAAAAGCATTGCCTGCTCTTCCAAAGGTCCTGAGTTCAATTCCCAGCAACCACATGGTGGCTCACAACCATCTGTAAAGAGATCTGGTGCCCCCTTCTGGCCTGCAGGCAGAACACTGTATACATAATAAATAAATTAATCTGAAAAAAGAAAAAGAAAAAAGAAACAAAGGTCATGCTTTGGGGGTGGGGTGTAGTAGCTCACACCTTTAACCCCAGAACTTGAGAGGCACAGGCAAGGGGAATCTGTGAGTTTGAGGCCAGCTTGGTCTCACAGTAAGTTCCAGGATAGCCAAGGCTATGGAGAAACCCTGTCTGGGGGAAAAAAAAAGTCATCAAAATGATTAATAAAATAAAAATGTGCTCTAAGATATGTACCAGAAAGAAATGCCCTAAAGATCTGTATTTACCTCCAAAGTCACAGAGAAACCCTGTCTTCAAAAACAAAAACATTAACAACAAAAAGATCTGCATTTACTAATCTTTCAAATATACCTAAGTCATTTTAATATGTGTATCTTCTTTACCAAAATCATGACCTCAATAAAGCCAGAAATACCATTTTTTTCACCTCTGCAATTCTACAAAGCACCATCACATGCAGTATGATAAAGAAAATAGGAAACAGTATATACTCATCAAGGGGAAAAATGAATGAGATTATTCCAACTTACAAAATTAGGTCATACTGTAGTAAACAGCTGCAGCAGCTGTTTTTAAACCTATACAGCAGCATTAGCATACTATGCCTAAAGAAAAGCATTACTCAATATTACTATCTCAGAGACCCTAGGATTCCTAGACCCCCTTTCGATGCAGATGCATAGTACCCCATTTTCATATCACTCATGTCTACCTGCCCTGTGTTTTCTGACCTGTTATATAACCTGTAGCAAGCGCTGCTAAATTTAAAAAAAAAACATTTTCCCCTTTCTCTACTTACTCTCCTTTTACACTATTTAGCATGACCAACAAGTGTCCTCCACAAGTTCCAGAATCTAAGAAACTAAGAAAGAGAATCTTACCAATAGTGTGATTCCCATAAAGCAGTTGCTCCAGAATTGCAGTTTTCCCAACAGACAACAAACCACAAACAACAACCTTGCAGCCCTTTCCCATCTTCTCTCAGGACAACTCTGTGGAGAAAATGGAGGAACTTTAAAACTGGACATGTTAAGATAAATTCTTTCTTTCCCTTAAAGTTGAACAAGAAATACAGTACAAGGGAAACTCCAAATATTAAAAGGGTGGATACAGAATATGATAATCTTTCCACACTCTATTCTCCAAGATATTTGTTAAGAGTTTCTCATATATTGCCACAGAAATCATCTGGATATACTGTAAAACACCTAAATGGAGATGCCTGTAATCCCAGCACTCAGGAGACCAAGGATCATAGTCAGCTACATAGTAAACCAGAGATCACCTTAAATGTTGATATCTGGGCATGGCTGTACATGCCTACAATTCCAGCACTTGGGAAAAGAAGAGTGCTGATGCTGGAGGATTACCACGAGTAAGGTAACATTTTCTTTAAGGCTTTTGTTTTTCCAAAAGACAGAATATTGGCAACTAAGGTAAAAAGGTTAATGGTTCATTAAGAACACAGAAAAGTCATTTTAAAAAAGTCAAATGGTGGAGCTAGAGAGATGCCTCAGAGGTTAAAATCACTGGCTGTTCTAGAGGACCTGGGTTCAATTCCTAGCACTCACAAATAGCTCACAACTGTCTGCAACTCCAGTTCCAAGGGATCTGACACCCTCACTCACATACATGTAGGCAAAACACCAATGCACATTTAGAAAAAACAAAAAGGTCAAATTGTAAGCTGGGCATGGTGGCACAGTCCTTAACTGAAGCACTTGGGAAGCAGAGGCAGACAGCTCCAGAACAACCAGAGGTCTACAGAAAAACCTTGTTTCAAACCCCAGCTTACCAGTGGGTAAAAATACTTGCTACCCAGTCTGCTGACCTAAATTTGATAAGCAATTCCCAGAGGTCCTCTCAACTTCTACATACTTATATATGCATGCACAAATAAGTATAATTTTTAAAAAATTGCCAGGCAGTGATGGCACATGCCTTTAATCCTAGCACTCAGGAGGCAGAAGCAGGTGGATCTCTCGGAGTTCAAGGCTAGCTTGGTCTTCAGAGCAAGTTTCAGGACAGGCTCCAAAGCTACACAGAGAAACCCTGTGTAGCTTTTTCGAGACAGGTCTCACTATGTAGCTCTGGCTACCTAAAACTCACTATGTAGACTAGGCTGGCTTCAAATTCAGAGATTCTCCTGCCTCTATCTCCCAAATGCAGAATTAAAAGTGTGCATCACCCTGCCTGGCTTAATGAAAAAAAACAAAAACAAAACTTTTATAAGGGGTCATAGAAATAGCTCCATAGATAAGAACACTAGCTGCATTATTTGTAATAGCCAGAACCTGGAAGCAACCTAGATGCCCCTCAACCAAAGAATGGATACAGAAAATGTGGTACATTTACACAATTAAGTACTACTCAGCAGAAAAAAACAATGGAATCTTGAAATTTGCAGGCAAATGGATGGAACTAGAAGAACCCATCCTGAGTGAGGTAACCCAGTCACCGAAAGACAAACATGGTATGTACTCACTCATATATGGATATTAGACAAAAAGAAAAGGATTACCAGCTTACAATCCACACCTCCAGAGAAGCTAGGAAACAAGGAGGACTGTAAGAGTGACATACATGGTCCCCCAGTGAAATGGAAAAGACAGGAGCCCCTGAACAAATTGGAAGCATGGGGGGGGGGAGAAGGGAGGGAGGCAGGAGAAAGAGGGGAGAAGAGGGGTGGGGAGGAGAACATGAGTGATCAGGAAGATTGAGTGGGAGAGGAATAGAGGAGAGCAAGAAAAGGGACAACACATCAATAGAGGGAGCCACTATAGGTTTAAAGAGAAATCTGGCACTAGGGAATTGTACAGAGATCCACAAGGATGATCCCTACTAGGAACCTAAGCAATAGTGGAGAGGCTACCTTAAATGCCATCCTAGAGCCTTCATCCAGGAGCTGGTGGAAGCAGAAGCAAAGATCTACAGCTAAACACTGAGCCAAAGTCCTGTTATCCAGTTTCACAGAGGGAGGAGTGATGAACAAAGGGGTCAAGATCACGATGGGAAAACCCACAGAAACAGCTGACCTGAGCAAGTGGGAACTCATGGACCTCAGTCTGACAGCTGGGGAACCAACATAGGACCAAACCAGGCCCCCTGAATATGGGTGCCAGTTAGGAGCACTGAGCAGTCTATGGAGCCTATGGCAATGGGACCAGGATGTATCCCTAGTGCATGAAGGACTTTAGGACCCCATTTCCCATGGAGGGATACTCTCTTAGCCTAGATACACAGGGGAGGGGCCTAGGCCCTGCCCCAAATGAGTTGACAGATTTTAATGATCCCTAATGGAAGCCAGGAAGAGCTGCTATGTGGATTCTGGGGATGGAACCGGGTCCTCTAAACCAGTGAGCCATCTCTCCAGCTTCCACCTCCACTTTTATAGAAATGGACTCTCAAAGATGCCCCCATCCTAACCCTGTAAACCTTTGAGACCTCACTTGAAAAGGAATTTTGCATGCGTGACTGAATTAACAGAGATTAAGATGGAGGTGGATTTATAAAACAAGTTTTAGAGGAGAGGGAATGACTGGAAAGGATGCAGGTGGCCTTGGGCTATTTATTTATTTATTTAGTTTTAATTTTCATTGGTGTTTGCCTGCGTGTATGTTTGTGTGAAGGTGTCAGATGTCCTGGAACTGGAGTTACAGACAGTTGTGAGCTAACATGTGGGTGGGTGCTAGGAATTGAATCTACCTCCTTTGGAAGCATAGTCAGTGCTCTTAAACTTTGAGCCATCTCTCCAGCCCCAACACCATGGCTTTAACCTGATATTTCTGATCTACAAACTATAAAATGATAAATGTTTTATTTAAGCCATTAAATGTATTGCAGTGGAGGCCAGGTGGGGCAAGCACAGCCTCCTCACTTGAGGGAAAAACAGATGGGGTCTGTGCAGGTTGGAGGCTAGCCTAGTGCATACATTAAGTTTTCAGGACAGTTAAAGCTACATAGCAAAAATAAAAGAGAAAGAAAAATGTATCTCGAAAACATAAATTTAAAACTGTAATTGCTGTTGGGGAAACCTAACCATCTCACTATGCTCTCTATTCCACTCTCTTTCCTTTTAGCCTCAAATCATCCTAAGTTAGAATTTTAAAATCCAGCCTACATTCTCAGAACCATCTAGTGGCTTCCTAGCTCCTTGGGTTTGATTCCAAAACACCACTTGCTGTTTTCTCTGTCAGTCCTGGTATCTTCTGTCTTGTCTCTTAACCTTGTGTCTCAGTCATCCATACCCCAACTTAAAACTTTTTGAGGTTTGGTTTCTGATTCCTAAATGCTATGCCACTTAACTACGCTCACAGACTTGTAATTTATTCTTCAATGTTATCCTTCAATGGGGCTGGAGAGGCTCAGTAGCTAGAGCACTTGCTACTCCAGTAGAGCACACTGCTTCAGGTCCCAGCACCTACATGGACGCTTCCCACCACTGGGCATTCCAGTTCCAGGGCACATATACATACATGCAAGCAAACACAGAAACTAAAAATAAATCTTAAAAAAAAATTAAGACTGTCCCAAAAGAGAAATCTTTTTTAATTAATTAATTAATTAATTAATTAATTTCACATCCAAACCAGAGTTTCCCCTCCCTCCTCTTCCTCTCATTCCCTCCCCTGCCCCCCCATCTTAACCCCCCAAATCCACACCTCTGTTTCTGTTCAGAAAGGGGCAAGCCTCCCTTGGGTATCAACAGAGGTTGGCATAACAAGTTTCATTAATATTAAGCACCTTCCTTGTATTAAGTAAAGTTGGGCAAGGCAAGGAATAGGTTCCCAAGAACCAGTCAACGTGTTAGGGACAGCCTCTGCTCCCACTGTTAGAAGTCCCACAAGTAGACCAAGCTACACAACTGTCACAGATATATAGAGGGCCTAGGTCAGTTCCATGCAAGCTCCTTGGTTGTTGTTTCTGAGTCTGTGATTTCCTATCAACCCAGGTTAGTTGTTTCTGTGGGTTTTCATGTAATGTCCTTGACCCCTCTGGCTCCTACAATCTTTCCTCCTTCTCTTCACCAGGATTCCCTGAGCTCCATCTAATGTTTGGCTGTGGGTCTCTGCATCTGTTTCTATCAGTTACTGGATGAAGGCTCTCTGATGATGGGGTAATCGCTAATCTGATCACAGGACACACATTGAGGGAGTGAGGAGTAATGTGACAGTCGCCCCAGCACCCCAGATTTCTTTTAGAGATCTCCCTGGGGGTGGGTGGGAATGGGAATGAGAAATAGCATCCTGAGCACTCCATCCTAACATGCAAGCTACACCAGATGTGCTAAAAAGAGAAAAAAATGAGGCAGTTAATTGGTTGGAAGATTACTTCCACCCAGGTCCAGGCTCCACTGGCTACATCATGATGCCCCCCCACCCCACCCCAAGGGTTCAGCTGAAGAGAGGCCTCCCTCTTGGGACACTTGGGCAACTGTCACCCTATTGCCCTATACCCCTTCACTTCCTCAATGTGTGTCCTTGGCACCAAATTAAATACATAGGTTAGTATTGACGTTTGCTCCCAAGGCTAGCACTTGTGCGTTGTTTGTGGCTGCATACCCAACAGCTGAGACTGTGCCCCGCACAAATTAAGACAGGTGAGGATTTTTAGAATGCTAAAGCCATTGTTTATTTTAAAAGATGAACAGAGCCACAGATTGATGTAAAAGATAAACATGAATCCAGAACCTTGGCCACAAACATGGGTAGACTTTATGAAAACCGCAAGACTATGAAGAAAGAAAATTCTGGAGCTGCAAAACCTCCAAAACCATTATTTCTTAATAAAGAACGCAATGCAGAATGTCAGCCTTCTGGGCATTTCTTCCTGAAACAGCCGCACCTAAGAGGACTTGGCAAATGAACAATTTGCTGTCCTAAAAACATGATAAAATAAAGCCCCCGTGTTCTGACGTTAGCACCTCCGGATTCCCATCCACCACAGGGAAAGCAGAAGGAGGACGGACGCCAGGGTCCACCCTCTCGGCTTGGGTCGGCGGGCCTCAAGGACACGCGCGCAGCCACTAGCGCCTACGCCCACCCGGTAGCTGTGCGGCGGTCACGCTGCTCCGGGATCTCGGAGCGGAGCCGGCGGAGACACCAACCTGACACTGCGGAGCAGTGAGACAGAGGCACGCGGGTCACTGCGGTCCGCGGGCGTCGCTCTGGAGCCGGTCCCCGACCTGCCTCCTCAGGACCCGCACCCGTGACCCACACGGGCTCAACGCCTCTCACCTCTGGCAACCTTCCCGGTTCAGAGGCAATGCTGAGAGCCCGCGGAAGACATCCGGAAGCGACGAATTGTCCCAGCCTGATTCCGCCCACCAGATTGGATGTCGGAACTACATACCCCATGAGGCACTGTGCGGCCACCCCGCCCCACCGGAAGGAGGGACGCCGAGGGGGGGGAGGAGCCACAAAAGGGATTGTGGGAGAAAGGCTTCTTCCTTTCCTCTGGTGGCAGCCATCAGGTAGGCAGGTCGATCCATATTTGCGTTTCTATCCGTCACGAATCGCGCTAGTCTTCAGCCATCCGGCCCTGGCGGCTCTGCCGCCGCGGAGCTGCTTCTCCCCACGAGCGTTCAGTCAGGATGCGGGGTGGAGAGGGCGCGAAGACGCAGCCACCCGGGAGGCTTGAGGGGAGACGCGATGGCGGCAGGATCCGAGCTGGGCCTGAAGGAGGCGCGGGACTCAGGCATGGAGGCCTGGCCAGGCCGGCCGCGTGGGGCGAAGCTTTCCGGGTTTTAGTCTCGCCGGCGGTGGCCTTCACAACCCTGCGGCCAGCCTTGCTGCCTCCCCGAGCCCGGGCTATCGGTCCAGCCGAATCGGCAGCCGCGCCCTGCCGCCTGTGCGGGACCGTTCTCATTCTCTGTGGAAGGTGGGGCGCCGGGACGGACGGCCCAGTTCTCATCACTGCCTGACAGCGATCGCTTTTCCAATGTGCTTCCTCTCAAAGGTGAGCCAAGATGGGTGCATACAAGTACATCCAGGAGCTATGGAGGAAGAAGCAGTCCGACGTGATGCGCTTTTTGCTGAGGGTCCGTTGCTGGCAATACCGCCAGCTTTCTGCGCTGCACAGGGCTCCACGCCCCACCCGGCCTGATAAAGCGCGAAGGCTGGGGTACAAGGCCAAACAAGGTGCGTGATGTCCGATACCACTGCCCCAGAAAAGTCCCGCATGTCCCCACCCCACCCCCGGTAACGGGAAGCATCGGGAAAGTCTCACCTGTTGGTTTTGTGTGTGTGTACAGGTTATGTCATATACAGGATTCGTGTCCGCCGTGGTGGCCGCAAACGCCCAGTTCCTAAGGGTGCAACTTACGGCAAGCCTGTCCATCATGGTGTTAACCAGCTAAAGTTTGCCAGAAGCCTTCAGTCTGTTGCTGAGGTAAATAGATTGATGTACCTACCAGTTGAATTGACAACCCATTACGGGTGGCGGCTAGAAATGGGACAACGCAGTAGACCTTCACTGGGTGGGTATAAGGTGGGGCTGGAGGTGTTTTGTTTACTTAGCCTTGGCAAAGAGCATCTATTATCAAAACTCTGTTACTGTTTGGTGCTTAAGTATACGCTGAAAGGGCTTTTTTGTCTTAATGAACCAGGACCTGCAGAACTAAAAGCTTTTGAAGGCAGTAAATGCAGTTTTTCTTTTGGGTTGCTAAGCTGTGTTCTGCTGTAGGAGACCCCTTTCCAAAAGCCGGAAGCTTTTGACTCTTGTATAAGACCATGTGTTTGATCCCAATTACTAACGAGATCTTGGGCAGTACTCAACTCCATGCCTAGTGTAACATGGACAGGGAGAATGAGAGGGAATGATGTGTTTCTGTCTGCAGATCTCGTTTGAATCTTTAGGGCTTACAGTGTGTGGGGACCTGGTCTGCTTAAGTCCATGGTGACCCAGAGTTTGAAAGAAGGATTTTTGTCTGATTTGCTGCTGTAAGCAGTACCCAAGATTGACTGGGCTTTCTCCCCTGTTTTTAGGAGAGAGCTGGACGTCATTGTGGGGCTTTGAGAGTCCTGAATTCTTACTGGGTTGGTGAAGATTCCACATACAAGTTTTTTGAGGTTATCCTCATTGATCCATTCCATAAAGCTATCAGAAGGAACCCTGACACACAGTGGATCACCAAACCAGTCCACAAGCACAGAGAGATGCGTGGGCTGACATCTGCTGGCCGAAAGAGCCGTGGCCTTGGAAAGGGCCACAAGTTCCACCACACTATTGGTGGCTCTCGCCGTGCAGCCTGGAGAAGGCGCAATACTCTGCAGCTCCACCGTTACCGCTAATATGTGTGATGTTTGTAAAAATTCATACCCAATAAACAATTTAGGACCGTCTTGTCTGCTTAAAGGTGTTATTTGTCAAAACTAGTCTGCAGATTGTCATGAATGCTTTGTGGAATTGGTAGCAGTTAAAGTGCAATGATGTTTGACTACTGGTGATGGTCTATCTTGTTTCCGATAAACTTTCTGTCTATGTTATCCGCTTAGGAAGTTAAGTGTATGGTGTTTACACCATGTGGTATACAAAGTGTAGAATCCCATAAAAGGAGTCCTAGGGCTACCCTGTAGATTGTTTGGTGCATGTTATAGAACTTACAGCTTTGTTGGGATTATGCAATCATATGGTTGATTGAAGTGGCTTAGGGGTTTGAATACAAACTTTAGAGTTGGATTTTTGTTTGCTTAGAAATCTGTAGGAAGAGAAGCTTCCAACCTGTTTTATGAGTGCATAGAAAAGGTATCAACCACAACCCATATTTTGGAAATTCAATCTAGTGTCCCATTTTCAGAATCAGGTGAAATTGGAAGAAGTTTCCTGTTCTATTGGATCTTCGGAGTATGCGTTTGATGCCCAATAATCTGTTGACACCTGTATATTTTGAGGTGGTTGGGGATTGAACATTGGATGGGATGAGGTATATTTAGGGGTGGTGTAGTGGGGTTGCGCTTGGGCATATTTTAAAAAGTGAGCAAGTTAGTATGCAGTCATTAAGCTTCTAGCCACATAGCAAGGATGTAAATTTAAAGATCAGCCCTAGGCCAGTTGATTCATCTGGTGGGTAAAAGTTGGCAGTATGACTTCGTTTATAGTCGTAGGTGGTGCCTGAAGTTATCCCTGGTATATTTATGGAAGTTATTGACATTTCACAAAGGCCAAGCATACCACCACATTGGTTTTTTTGTTTTTGGTGCCATGCCTTTGGAGTAGTTTGCCACAGTGCGCTTGACTGTGGAAGAAACAGATAGTATTGCCCTTGTCACAGGTCTGAGCCAGCAGGCCTGATAAGAATCTAATTGATGCTTTTAAACTAATTTTTTTCTCTTCAGATTTTTAGAGGATGATTTTACTGATTTCCGGAAAATACTGGACTCAATCTTGAGACTTATAATTCTTTTCTATTCAGCAAAACAAATCATTGTATATAGAAGTTGTTCAACTAAAGTAATAAATGTCTGTTAAACAAGTAGACCTTATGTTATCTTTTATGTTAAAGCAAATGAAAAAGCCTATAAAAGATACTAATAATAGAAATGGCAAACATTTGAGAGAAAATGTAGTATACTAAGATTTAGGAAACGTGTGGACTTGGCACTGACTTAGTGATTCAGTACTCAGCACTGGAAAGATTTCCTGCTAAAGGCCTGTCAGCATTACAGAAGCTTGCCTTTGCCTTCCACACAGCAACTAAGAGGGTCCTGTTACGTTTATCCTGGACTGTTTTGTGCTGGAAACTAAAGTCCCTAGCAAATGACCTGGGCCTGCCTCTTCAGTTCCTCAGAGTTCATTGTTCTTTTCCCAGATAGTTGGAATCCTATCAGATGTTCTGTGATCACTGAAGTTACTGGTTTTATTTTAGATGGTTTCAAGTAGCTGAGACTGTCATTTAACTCCTCCCTCTACCTCCCATGTACCAGGATCATAGCAGGCATCTGTCAACACTCAGGCTATTTTTGTCTTGAGAAAAGATGTAGCCCTGGCTGGTTTAGAACTTGCTATGTAGACCAAACTATTGGAACTGGGATTCATCTACCTCTTTGCCTGTACACTGAATTTCTTTCTGAGACAATCTAAATGTATAGCCCAGGTTAGCCTTGAGTACTGAGGTTACCACAAAGGTGCCCAATTTTCATAGTAGTTGGTCTCACAATAAGGAACAGGTACGTACACTGATCTATTTTATCACTGAAGTATATGTGTACTAGAGAACACATACATTGTATAGCTGGGGTTTGTGTGCTCTTATTACCCTCACACTTGGAGGTAAGCAAGAGAGGATCGGTACAAGAGCCTGTGGCAAAAAAAAGGCTGCATTTAAGAGGTCTGCCTTTGCTGTATACCTCAGTGCTTGGGAGGCAGAGGCTGTGGATCTTTTGAGTTCAAGTCCAGCCTGGGCTATAGAGAGCTCCAAGTCTGCCTCCCAGATTCCTGTCCTGGAAGCAGAAACAGTTGGATTTTATTTTAGATTTTGAGATACTAACAGGCCTTGAACTGACATTTGTTTGCATTCCCAGTATGGAAACTAGTGTTTGTCATATCCTCTACCTCATCCAACTTATGTGGTGCTAGGGATGGAGTCCAAGCTTTGTGTGTACTAGGCAAGCACTCTTGCAACTATAAGAAATAATTTCCCTTTGAGACAGTTTTGCTGTGGATCCCAAGATGGCCTCAGACTAGCAGCAGTTCAGCCATTTGCTTCTGTGCGTGATAGGATTGCAAGTAGATACTCATGAGATACTAAAATGTATGTTATTCTTACCCAAATGGTAGGATAAATTTAAATTCTTTGCTTAGTTATCTAGGAGCTTATTTGTCCACAAAGAGCTTCATTCTCTTTATTTTCTTTTCAGAGATTTATTTATCATGTGTACAGTGTTCGACACCAAATCTCATTACAGAGAGTTGTGAGCCACCATGTGGTTGCTGGGAATTGAACTCAGGACCTTTGGAACAGCAGGCAGTGCTCTTAACCACTGAGCCATCTATCTCTCCAGCCCCCATCCTCTTTATTTTTGCATGGTATTTGGATGTCACATAATTTGATGAGGCCTTGTATTAGCAGTCTCTAGAACAGTGCTTTCCAACTTGTGGGTTGAGACCACTTAGAGGGTTGAAGGATTTTTTCACAGGTTGAATATCAGATATTTACATTATGATTCATAACTAGCAAAATTACAGTTATGGAGTAGCAGTGACAAAATTTTATGGTTGGGGGGGTCACCACAACATGAATGACTGTATTAAAGAGCTGTAG